ATATATACATATATGTATATTTTGTTGTGAATGCATATATGTATATATCTGATACATTTATATAAAATATATAATATAAAATATATATTATATATATTAGACATTTTTATTTGTATCACAGGCATTGGTCCAGGGTTTTTAAGATATAATGAATACTTCCTATCTCACAACCTTTAAATTCAATCTCAAAAAAAAAGAGGTTGAGGGAGGAGAGTGCAATGGGAAAAGAAGCAGCAGTAAGATACATCACATACAGGTACCAATTCCCTATGAGGAATGTGATCATTATGTATATGTAAAATGTACCAACAGAAAAAAGAAAAAGAATCTGAATGATTTGAATTAAAATAGCAAATGAATTGAGTTCTCCAGTGTGAGAAATACACTGAGAGCAGAAGTGTGGTGGGAAGATGATAGGGTCCCAAATTAGCAGATCTGGACCAGCCCTCGAGATTTAGCAGGCAGCCACTTTGTTCTGTAAGCAGTCAAATCAAACATCAGAAGAAACATGAACAAGATGCTCAGAGCTCATCCAAACTCCAGGGTAAACTGCTGTTCGTTCCTCAGCATCATTATCTTCATTCCCATGGTGTTTTTTTTCCCTGAATATCATTATAGATATTTCTACAGAGAAAAAAGACAACTGAGTTTGGGAGACGCAGTGTTATAGGAATTAGTCATTCATGTACTCAGCAAAGATTTAGGTAGTTCTGCATACTAGGTGAAAGCAGAGATGCTAAATTCAGACTTCTGGGTCAAAGAGTCAGATTCTTCTATGAGCAAACTTAGTTACTTAATCTATGCTCCTAGGTTTCCTTATCTATGCAAAGGTAAAATAATAGCATCCACTTTACAGTCTCCTGAGACTCAAGTACAAAGAAAGGGCTTAAAACAGCACTTGAGAGAGAGTAATCATTATCAAACACAATTATTAGATGTGATCATGTCTCTGAGAACTCAGTATGCTAATTTGTTGGGGAAAAATTTCCTTCTCAGCACCGCAGAAGGTAAAATGAATTTTTTTCCCACGTGGCTCCAGTGTAAAATACTTTATAGATATTGATACTTAATCTTTATGCAAATTATGGCAGACATTTCCTAAAGGAATATATTGATATGCACAAGTATATCTGTTGATTTTGGTTGCTTGACTGAAATTTCTGGTGGTTGTTCCTTTCCTTTCTTGGAGCGCTAGTAATTTAAGGAGAAATAACTAACTGTAATATTTAATCAAGTGCCTGATCTTTACTGCGGAGTTGTCAGTCATGGCTAAATCAACATCGTGAAGGTCAAAGTTGATACTCCTGAATGTGAGAGGTGAAGATGCTTCTTCTAGACTAGGATATTTTAGATTGATCTTCAAATCAATAGTTTTTACAACTCAGTGCAGTTCAGAACTTCAAGATGATTTCATTACACCTACGTATTGCCCTTTATTCCTCTAAACATGCCAGGAACTTTCAAAGAATGCAGCTGGGAAAGAAATAATTCTTTGGTTCTTAAATCTCACTGCTTCTGACATTTATAATCTGACATGAAGCCAGCTAACACAATGTACATTAAAGATCTGGTTCTGTGTGATATATTTAAATTTTTAAGGCTTTTATTTAAAAAGTTTTAATTAGTTCTTTATAGCCTGCTTTTTGCATATGTTCTGTTTAAATCCAACTACTTTTATATTCTGCTTTCCTTTGGAATACTTTTGGTAATATCAGTGCAATAAGGAGTGAAGTAATACATCATCCCACAAAAAGATTACAACCAATTTCTTACAATTATACAGTACATTTAAGATGTATATTTAATGATTCCTCATAGTATGATGGAAAATACATGTAAAGTTTTTGTAACCTCTCAGTTTTGCATTTTTCCTTCATTTGAGGCAGTACATTTCAACTATAAAGTATGCATCAGTCTCCGTTCGAGCCAAAAATTTTAAAAATCTCACCTTTCTAAGCTATAAAATATACAGAATTGAAAATTGGCACCTAATATATTTTTCATTAGATACAGATGTTCAATGGAAAATTTTCTCTTCAAGTATTCATGAAAAGCAGAGTAACTAAAAATCCTCAGGTACAAAGGATAAAAAATACAACTCACATATCTTTTGGTAAAATGTTAATGGTTTTTCAATGAAAGCCATTCTTCTTTTATAATTTGCAAGTCCTTTTAAGTTAATCATCTTATAATTTAAAATTGTGAATGGATCTTTAAATTGACTTAGAACTTAAGGCAGTAAGAATATCTAGCTACCTTCCAAATGTAGAGTCTTGTAAGTAACTTGTGAAGAAATCACTCAATAATTGAGGGTAAAGTTTACCTTTTTAGGGGCTGGGGATTTAGCTCAGTGGCAAAGCGCCTGCCTGGCAAGCGCAAGGTTGTGAGTTCGGTTCCCGGTACCAGAGAAAAACAAAACAAAAAAAAAAAGTTTACCTTTTTATCTTGAAATTTGAATTGAACATTTGAATGAAATAATAATTTTGATAAACTTTATTTTTCATATCTATTTATCAAACCATTTTGAAAGTAACTTTCTTCTTATTATTTGTAAGTACAGGCCAGTACAGTAAATGAACAACACAACCTGGTATGTTGGCTTTTTGTACCTTGAGACCATTATGTTTATTTCTGAATTGAGTTGAGCTGCACATAGTTTTGAAGTAAAAGTAGATTTGCACAAGCTAACCTCCGTGGTGAATATTTAGAGCTACTGATGTTTGGCCACCTGCAGAACTCATTATCTTAAGTAGGAGCTCAGTGTGGATATCCAGTAGGGGAGGAACATAAAAAGTAATTCTTTTTCCTCTTCACCCACCCATCCCCCCAAACTGGAAAAAAAAGCCCAGTTTAAGCAGATGTTTCTGAAAATGCAAAGCTATGACATATTATCAGTTTAATAAATAGTTCATCTGTGGCTCTAATTGGGTTATATGTATTTCATGTCTTCTTGGAATGGAACTGTGGTGCTTATGGGCATCTCAGTATATAATTTTAAAATACTTCTACATTTTAGCTTCACTACTTTTCATAAAAATATACATGTTATTTTGTCAAAGATGTCCAGTAATGTGTTTCTTTATTTGTTAATTATCCTGCTTTCAGAATTACCACTAGGTGACTTCTGTATGAGTAACATTATGCCCATCTCTGTAGGAAATTATGAAATGTAGTAGACCGGGAGGTTTATATTATACTGAGGAAGAGAAGAACTTTATACAAAATATGTTACTCACAGTAGATAAATAAAATAGTTGATCTATGTCAACATCAATGATATTTGTGAAAATGACTGTGTAAAAGAAGTCAATGAGCCCTGGGAAGTCTCTTTCTAGAGACTTTCTTTGATTACAGGAAGCATAGAATTTTTCCCTACAGATAGAAGGAAGGACACGGAAGACAGAAGCCAATGCAGGGAATGAAAGCGTAGCCATAGAAACAGAAAAGTCTGTGAGGGGAAGTGGGAAGGTGCTCTGGTCCACAGAGCAGAGTACAGAGATGTTAGAGGAGAAGGTGGCTTAGAGGCACACAGAGAGGCCCTTGGATGTCGGGGAAAGTGTATAGATGTCACAGGTAGAAGAGGAGGGTAGGGAAGAGAAGGTGTCTGAGTGAAGAATTACCTAGCAAGGATGATGTCTAATGTATTAATCTAGCAGTGACCATGGCGTGCAGTGCAAATAGGAGTTGAGGACAGCGAATAGTCATTGCTCTCACTGCTAGATGATTAGATATCAAATCATGGAGGTTTTTAGTAAGACTATGCCATGAAAAATGGAAACTTGAATATACAGGACTTGTGACTCACAAGTTGCAGGAAATTAAGACCCAAAGGATGAAATATTCTGAAACTTAGAAAAATAAGAAACGAAGTTAAGGAGAGTGCTTTGCGAAAGTCAAGTTGTGTGGGAGCATATAAAAAAGTAATTAGTGCTTATATTTATAGAGCTGAGGGATGGAGGAACCAGCTGTGGCAGCTAGAAGGTGTCAGGTTTCTTTGGGGGGATAAAATGTTCTAAAATTATGGTGATGACTGCACAAGTCTGAATATACTGAAAGCCATGAAAATATATACTTTAATTGGGTGAATGGGAAAGTATATAAAGTGTATCTCAAGAAAGCTGTTACAATGTGAAAGAGAAAAAAAACAGAAAAGAAAATACATTTTAGGTGCTACGTAAGAAAAAAATGACCTTTAACTGGCAGTCAGTTGAATGTGGAATATGACCAATTAGGAATGGTGCTGCTAAGAGGGTAGTTGAAGCTGTGAGGGTAGCTGTGAAGAGAGCGAATAACAGCAGAGCTGATCATCACAATTTCGCAGTTCACGGACTATATGATGGGAAGGGCAATAATTAAAAAAGGTCTTTTTAACAAAGTTTATCAGTTGCATTCCTTTTACCTGTGTTACCTTAATCAGGAAAACCAGATCAGTGGAATTTAGAAATGTGGTTTTAGGTACTGGCCATGCTATATAAGTTGTCAAAGATGGCTGATTTTTTATGTACTGAGAATCTATTTTAAATTATAGGAATGGTGTTTCTATCAGTCGTCATATATGTGTACCTACGTAACATAACAGCTGTGTGTGTGGGTCATGGTGGCAGAATCCCAGCCAGGACCAGGATTGCATGGGGGAGGCCGAATTGAACGATCCCCGCCAAAGCTTGCTTTTGGAGTTTTGAGGGCTGAATTGGTTGTGTCTTCACTGATTACTGAATATTGGGACTCAAGATATTACTGGTAACCTTTAATGTGAAATAAAATGTGTTGTTGCTAGAACTATATTATGGAAATCTAAAAGGTTGACATTCTTGCAACTAAAGGAAAACTATAAAATTACAAAGAAATATTTCTCTATGATAAGTTCCTAGGTGACATATATAGCTCATCTGGAAGAGAAATGTTAGTCATAACAATTACGCCAAGTATGTTCGTCAGCATGAATCTGGCATTCCTGTTGGAATAATTGCATTTTTATAATGCTCCTTTTCCCATTTCAGGGAAGGAGATTACAGCAGATACTTTCATGGAGAAGTTGGATAATGGCGCCTTGCTCTGTCAGCTTGCAGCAACTGTGCAGGAGAAGTTCAGAGAGACCATGGATGCGCAAAAGCCTGCCAAGGTAAAGAGCTCAGGGCAGACATGACTATTCGCAGGCAGATGGCATTTGCTGTTGCTTATGAACCGGGTGCAGTTTAAGAGTTGATTGTGAACGGGTGCATCAAGGCCTACATTGACAGCAAAGCACAGAAGGTACTTTTAAAATTACATAACATGCTCTTTGAATTTTAATTAATTGATCTTCTTGGTAATTAGTTAAATAAAATGTTTTGGAAAATGCTAGCGTTAAAAAAATGTAATGGGCTGAATCTAATTGCTGATTAAAACTTTAGAAAAATAACTTGTAGCATCATGCAATGAATCATAAATTTAACTAAGAAAGACTGGCTGAATAGGACTTTGTGTTAAAAATATTAGGGTAGGAACTGAAATAGTATAATTGGAAGATCATTTTTTGTTTTCTATTAATCAGTTGTATCATGAACTAAGGAACTTTGAACAGATTATTGCATTTCTGACCACTCAGATTTCCTTTTTTGGACATTAATCCTGATACTTTGTAGTTATTGTAAATACACGATAAAATGTCATCTTCAATAATTTGGAGTAGACAAGAGAGAAGGAAAAAGAAGCAAGAAAATAAGGTCAAGTAGTGTTAAATGCTGGTTAAAATAAAAATATACAAAAATAAGTGTCAGATTGCTTTTGCTACTCTGGCAACACAGAGTAAAAGTGATCAGTGTTTGTGAGTGTGAGTGTGTGTGTGTCTGTGTGTGTGCACCAGCATTGTACTTGTTTTATTTATTTTTTTTATTTTAAAGAGAAAAAGTAAAAGTAACAATAAAACAGACTTTCAAAACACATTAGTAGGAGAGTTACAATAATCAGCACGTTGTCTATTGTCTTCGTAGTAGTTATTCACAGTATAAGATATAGGCATGAAATCTTGTCAGACATTATTAACACAAACCTTTCTTTTCAATGAGCTAAGAAAACTAGCTGTATAACTATCTTCACTATCTTGTGTATAAATACTTTTTTCTTTTTCCCTTTCTTCCTTTCCCCATAAATTGCTGTGGTATGATGTTTTTAATTCTTCTGGGGAGATACCCAGAAAGGGAATGGCTGGGTCAAATTGGACCTCTAATCCTAGCTTTTAAAGGAATCTCCACATGGATTTGCACAATGGTTGCACCAATCTACAGTCCCACCAACACTGGAGAAAGGTACCTTTTCCCCCACAGCCCAATTTTGGTTATTGGTTGATTTCTTGATGAAAGCCATTCTTTCTGGGGTGAGATGGAATCTCAGTGTTGTTTTAATTTGCATTTCTCGAATGACCAATGATGTTGAACATTTTTTCATGTATTTTTTTGCCATCTGTATTTCTTCATCTGAGATGTGTGTATTCATCTCAGATGCCCATTTTTTGATTGGGTCCAATTGAATTTGGGGGGGTCTGATTTTGTTTTTAATTCTTTATATGTTCTAGATATAAGTCCTTTGTCTGAGAGACAACTGGCTATAATTTTTTACCACTCTGTGGGTTGGCTTTTCACTCTGTTGGTGATTTCTTTTGTCGTGCAAAAGGTTTTTAATAAGGTAAGATCTCATTTATTGATTATTTGTAATATTGCAGTCTGGATTTTGTTCATGAAGTCTCTGTCTACACCTGTATCTTCAAGATTTCTACCTATTTTTTTTCTTCCAGTAAATTTAGTGTTTCTACTTTAGTATTTAGATCTTTGATCCATTTTTACTTTAGTGCATGGTAACAGACTTGGGTCTAATTTTAGTCTTTGGCATGTGGAAAGCTGGTTTTTCCAGCACCATTTATTAAAGAGACTATCTTTCTTCCAGGGAACATATTTGGCTCCTTTGTCAAAGATAAGGTGACTGAATGTGCTTGGGACTGTGTCTGCACCTTCTCTTCCATTCCATTGATGCTCGGGTCTGTTTTTTTTCCAATATGATGCTGATTTTATCAGAGTAGTGTAATTTCAGGTCTGGGATTGTGATGCCCCCGACTTACCTTTGATGCCAGAATCGCTTCTGCTATTCTAAGTCTCTTCTGGTTTCAAATGAATTTTAGGAGTATTTTCTCTAGATCTGTAAATTATACTAATGATATTTTGATTGAGGTTGCATTAAATCTGTATAGCAGTTTTGAGAGTATGGCCATCTTCACTATGTTGGTTCTTCCTATCCAAGAGCAAAGGATATCTTTTCATTTTCTGATATCCTCTTCAATCTCCTTTTTTTAGAATACTGTAAGTTTCACTGTATAGACCTTTTACATCCTGTGATAGATTGATTCCTAAATATTTCATTTTTTGGATGCTATTATGAAGTATGTACTTTCCCTAATTTCTCTCTCTGTACGTTTGTTGCTTGTGTACATGAATGCTATTGATTTTTGAGTGTTGATGTTATATACCACTACACTGCTGAATTTGCATACTAACTCTACCAGATTTTTGGTGGAGTTTTGGGGGTCTTCTGTGTAGAGTATTATATCATCTGTAAATAATGATAATTTATCTTCTTCTTTATGTTTCTTTATTCCTTTTATTTTTCTCTTATGTAATTGCTCTGGCTAATGTTTCCAGAACTGTATTGAATGGCAGTGGTGATAATGGACATCCTTATCTTGTCCCTGATTTTAGAGTGAAAGCTTTCAATTTTTGACCATTTAATATGATGTTAGCTGTTGATTTGTCATAGACAGCTTTTATAAGATTCTGGTAAACACCATGTATTCCAATTTTCTGTAAGGTTTTTATCATGGGTGTTGGACTCTATCAAAAGCTTTTACTGGATCTATTCAGGTGATCATGTGATTCTTGTCTTTGGTTTTATTCATATGATGCATTATATTTATTGATTTGCATATATTGAACCATCCCTGCATCCCTGAGGTGAACCCTACTTGGTCATGATGTACAATCTTCTGGATGATTTGCTACATTCTGTTTGCAGATATCTTATTAAGGATTTTTGCATCTATGTTCATTAGGGAGGTGGGTCAGTAGTTTTCTTTTTTGGTTGCATTCCTCTCTGGTGTTGGAATCAGGGTGATACTAGCTTCCAGGGATGATTTTGGAAGAACTGCTTCCCTTTCAATTTCTTTACAGAGTTTCAGTATTAGTGGCATTAGTTCTTCGCTAAATTTCTTGTAGAATTCCACAGTGAATCCGTCAGGGCCTGGGCTTTGCTTTGTTGGTAAACTTCTAATTACATTTTCAATTTCATTGGCTGATATCAGGTTATTTAGAATTTTTTTATCTTCTTGGTTTAGTTTTGCCAATTTGATCTTGTCCTGGAATTGTTCATTTCTTCTGCATTTTCCATCTAATTAGAATATAGGTTCTTATAATGGGTATTGATGAACGCTTTAGACATCTACCTGGATTTCTCTGGGATTTGCTGTGATTTTTCCCTTTTCATTCCTAATTGCTTGATTTTCATTTTTTCTTTCCTCTTTTTGATGAGGTTGCCTAGGGGCTTATCAATTTTCTTTATTCTTTCAAAGAACCAACTTTTCATTTCATTGAGTCTTTGTATTGTTTTATTAGTTTCTATTGCATTAATTTCTGTTCTTGTCTTTATAATTTCCTCCTTTGTATGATATTTGGGTTTGGTTTATTCTTCTTTTTCTAGAAGTTAGAGGTTCAACATTAGGTTGTTTACTTGAGCTCATTTTCCTGATGCTTGAGTTCATTGCTATAAATTTCCCTGGTAGGAATGCTTCCATTGCATCCTATAGGTTTTGGTGGGTTGTATTGGCATTATCATTTAACTGTATATATTATTTAATTTTGTCTCTAATTTCCTGATGCTTGAGTTCATTGCTATAAATTTCCCTTGTAGGAATGCTTCCATTATGTCCTATAGGTTTTGCTAGGTTGTATTGGCATTGTCATTTAACTGTATATATTATTTAATTTTGTCTCTAATTTCCTCTGTGATCTGTTAGTTGCTTAATTTTCATATATTTATGTAGTTTTTGTGATTTCTTTTGTTGTTCATTTCCAGTTTCATTGTGTTATTGTCAGATACTAATCATGGGGTGATTTGAATTCCTCTGCATTTACTTAAACATATTTTGTCAGCTAGTATATGGTTTATTTTGGAGACTGCCCCATGTGCAGCTGAGAGGAATGTGCATTCTGGTATTTTAGGGTGGAGCACTCTGTAGACATATACGAAGTCCATTTATTCACAGGGTCAGTTTAATTCTAATATTTTTGTTAATTTTTTTTCTACTTGATCTACCTATTTGTGAGAGTGGAGTATTAAGGTCCTCTACTACAGTTGTGTTAGTGCTTATTTGGTTTTTCATGTTTGTTAATATTGGTTTTATGTAGTTGGGTGAAACTTTGTTTGGTGCATAAATACTTATGACAGTTATCTGTTCTTCATGTAGTTTTCCCTTAAAGAGTCTGTAGTGACATTCTTTATCTGTCTTGATCAGTTTTGACTTAAAGTTTCTGTTGTCTGCAAATAGAAGAGCTACTCTTGCTTTTCCTTTGGGTTCCTGTGGCATGGGGAATTGTTTTTCATCTTTTGACTTTTAATCTATGAAATGCTTTTTGGGTTAAATGTGTTTCTTAAATGAAGCATAGTGTTGGATCTTGTTTCTTGATCCATTCTGCCAGTCTGTTTCTTTTGATTGGTGAGTTGAGACCATGTATGTTGATAGTTATAACTGATATGTATTTAGCTTATCTTTGTCATGTTATTTTTCTGTTGTTTGTTCCCTGCCTTTCTCCTCTCTTTAATTGCTTACCTGGCCTGGCAGCTTCTTTCTATTGGTGTTTATGCATTTGTGCTCTTCATTATCTCTTTCTATTATGTTATTCAGAGTATTCTGTAGAGCTGGTTTGGTGGTCATAAATTTCTTCAGTTGTGCTTTATTCATGGATGTGGATGTATCTTACTTCTCTATCAATTTTGAAATATAGTTTTGTAGGGTACATCAGTCTAGGTTAAAGATTGTTTTCCTTTAGGGCTTGAAATGTCTCAGTCCAAGCTCTTCTTGATTTGAGAGTTTGTGTTAAG